TACAGTAGTATACACCATGAAGACCTGAAACAGCAATGCGTCAGAGTGAGGTATTTAAAGTGGGTGGTTACGTAAGCGAATCCTTGGAAATGGCACAAAAAGTTCGAAGCAATTATAGGATAAATTGAAATTTACTGTATACTTTTTTAGAAGCCAAAAAAACTAGATGACGGTCGAAGACGTGCTATAATGTGGTCTGCAAAAGCTTTGATAGCTACTAGCAACAACTAGAAATATTTTTCGAAGTCGACTCAATGAATTGCTATCTGATGACGATGGTAGAGATAATTGTTATGCACCATTCGACTAGAATGCATAAGCAGCGAAGTTGGGTCATTGATAATGAACGGATCTACAAAATTATAAACTTATCATATCAAATCGCATAGAAAAAGCAGGATTTTCTGAAGAGCACCTAGTCTACTAGGTTTTGGGTTTTGCCATAAAAGTCACTGCGTTATTTCCACATATCAGTCTACATAGGGTTTGTTGACTAGTTTATTCAAATATATGTCCTCTCAGACAACCAAGCATAAGCTGCCACTTCTCAGGAGGCCTTTGCGACTACTCTTTTGATTCACGAATTCATTTGAAGAAAGATTTAAGCTAATAGCAAAGATTCAGAGCCACTAGCTGCAGCTTTAGCACTAATAAAGGTCGAGTCGCACGTGTCATGATCTATTTTTAAAAAAAGTATGATTTAATAAAGTTATATAGTGATAAGTGCAATTTTGGCGTGTATGACTAAGTAAGTCTCGCATGACTGGAAAATGACTATTAAAACAAATTACATTGTTGCGCGAGAACAGCCAGGAAGTTCTATTTTAGTTCATTTACACTTCAGTAGCAATGATGTGTTATGGTTATGAAGGAAATAGCTCAAATGCGGACGAAAACCTACAGTTCAGACACTTGTGATTGAGGGAATGAAGGAATTGTGATTTTAATGTACTAAGTGTAAGCCGAGGAAGCTTAGAAATACTAGCTCAAACAAACTGCTGTGTATTTTCACATGGTAGTGATATCATTGTACATCAAAGACCATAGATGCTTTTCAAAATATCAAAAAATAACATAGATATAATTTGAGATGTCTATTTACAATTTCAGTTTATACATAGCTGCATTGGAATTTGCCTCTCCTCAGAACATCTTTCTAGGGTGCCGCATTGCTGACCTTTGCGCATTAGGATTGGTAAGCTTGTTGCTAGAATACTGCCATCTCCGTCATCCTTTGACAACACAAGA